AATTACCGATCAACGTATGTCCAAATTATAATATGTATCCCCTACAATTGGTAGTATGCTTACCTATCATCGTTCTTCTTGACAATTTTGCTACTTATTAACAGTTATTAAGGATGACACATAACAAACCAACAATACAGAAAGACAGCTCATTTTAAACTCTACTTGATCGGAGAGCGTGCGTGTTTATATATGATCTAATATCTATGTTTTACTCGTTAATGTTCTATTTGTCCTATTATTATTTCTTGTTCGCTAATATATCCAAAATATCAAAATACGACTCGCTAAGTAACTCAGTATCTTTGTTTAAATTTAGTCCATTTTTTTGTTCCTTGATATGTAGCATCTCAGAAATGAGTCTTTTATAATAATTATTTTCGTTGTCCATGATCTTAACATTGTCCCAATTAAAAGTATGATGTTCATTTATTATGTGTTCAGAAATTACTGAATGTTTCGTTGAGTCCAATCTAATATTATTTTTATGTTCTTTCATTCGCGTCTGCAATTGCCTCTTTGTTTGGCCTACATAAGATGCATTACAATTATTGCAACTGATCTTATAAACCACATTCGAATTGCATGGATGTTTAGTTTTATCTTTCTGCGCTTTAATAATATTATCCAGTTTGTTGAGACATCTATACCCTACCATACAATTTTTATTTTTTACCGAGGAAACAATCATTTCTGAGATCCCATCTATATACGGAATGACAAAGAATTTTTTATTGACCGAGTCATTTCCTATACTTTTTGTTCTTTCTATGTTGGCCTGTCTCTCTATAATGCTCCCCTTAGATATGATGAGAAATTCAATTGGCTTAAGAGAAAACAACACTATAAGTATATCAACAGCATCAAACCTATAGATATACATTGTTCTTTACATTTTGAAACTTCACAACCGACGAAAATATCACAAAATTCTCTCAGGGCAATCACTAATGATGCCAAGGAGATCAATATACACATAGAAGCCAATAAATTTCTCAATGATACAATTAACCCTTTGGAAAATACTAATAAAAAATGGTTTGTTAATCTTTCCAACACAGACATTCCGCCTAACGTTTCTAATCTGTTGCAAATGGGTGATAAATTCTGTCTTCCGAATATTAGTAAAAAAACAGCGATACATGAATTCATCAAGGACATAGAGAGTAATAGCAAACGAAATAATATTAATAATCTCACAACGATCAGAAATATCGCGGTTCCAAAATTTGCACAACTTCTGAACACGAAGGATAAAAATGACGTAAGTCAACAAAAATTACTTGGTGCACACAGAGATTTAATAAAATTTTGTAAAGACAATCCGAATGTTCTATTCACACGCGCGGACAAGGGTAATGCTACGGTGGCAATGGAAAGATCTCATTATATTAACAAAATGGAAAACGTTTTAAAAGATGTCAACACTTACACTATTGTTAAAAAAAATCCGTGCAAAAAAATAGAGAACGATTTGAATGATTTGTTGAAGAGATGGCTTAAGGAAGATTATATTTCAAAAAACGAATATTATAAATTACGTTGTAGTGATTCTCTCCTTCCAAAAGCGTATGGATTACCTAAAATCCATAAGGAAAACTATCCAGTTAGAATCATAGTTTCATCGGTTGATACAGCTCTATACTCGCTGGCTTCGTTTTTACAAAACACCTTACGAACTAGCCTACCCAAAGCGAAAAGTCATATTAATAATAGTTTTGATTTGTACAGCATATTGTCTGGTAAAAAGATTGATGAGAATGATAGGATGTTTTCCTTGGATGTGGTGTCTTTGTTTACGAACGTTCCTCTGGATCTTGCGATTGACGGTATTAACGATAGATGGGATTACATTGGAATAAATACTAAAATACCGAAAAACGAATTTTTGGGGGGTATAAAATTCATATTGACTTCTACATATTTTACATTTGATGACATAATTTATAAACAGACGTTTGGGACCCCTATGGGGTCACCGTTATCACCAATTATTGCAGACCTGGTTATGCAAGATCTTGAGGATACAGTTCTCAAAGCGTTGAATTTGGAATGTTTGTTTTATTTTCGTTATGTGGATGACATAATAGTGGCCACCTCTATGACTAATATGACTCAGATTGTGAATAATTTTAACAACTATCATGAAAGACTTAAATTCACGGTCGAACAAGAGGTTAACCATAGCTTGAATTTCTTAGATTTATCACTTAAAATTATTAATAACAAAATATATATAGACTGGTATCAAAAAGAAACCTTCTCAGGAAGGACGTTATCATTTTATTCAAACCACCCATTATGCCACAAAATTGGAATAATATATAACCTTGTAGACAGATGTCTATTGCTATCACATCCACTATTTTTTAATAAAAATTTGGAGTTAATTATTAATATACTCAGAAGCAATGGTTACCCTCTTGATCTGATTTTTAACAAAATTAATCATCGGATAGAACACATCATATCTAAGGGGAGCATTATAGAGAGACAGGCCAACATAGAAAGAACAAAAAGTATAGGAAATGACTCGGTCAATAAAAAATTCTTTGTCATTCCGTATATAGATGGGATCTCAGAAATGATTGTTTCCTCGGTAAAAAATAAAAATTGTATGGTAGGGTATAGATGTCTCAACAAACTGGATAATATTATTAAAGCGCAGAAAGATAAAACTAAACATCCATGCAATTCGAATGTGGTTTATAAGATCAGTTGCAATAATTGTAATGCATCTTATGTAGGCCAAACAAAGAGGCAATTGCAGACGCGAATGAAAGAACATAAAAATAATATTAGATTGGACTCAACGAAACATTCAGTAATTTCTGAACACATAATAAATGAACATCATACTTTTAATTGGGACAATGTTAAGATCATGGACAACGAAAATAATTATTATAAAAGACTCATTTCTGAGATGCTACATATCAAGGAACAAAAAAATGGACTAAATTTAAACAAAGATACTGAGTTACTTAGCGAGTCGTATTTTGATATTTTGGATATATTAGCGAACAAGAAATAATAATAGGACAAATAGGACATTAACGAGTAAAACATAGATATTAGATCATATATAAACACGCACGCTCTCCGATCAAGTAGAGTTTAAAATGAGCTGTCTTTCTGTATTGTTGGTTTGTTATGTGTCATCCTTAATAACTGTTAATAAGTAGCAAAATTGTCAAGAAGAACGATGATAGGTAAGCATACTACCAATTGTAGGGGATACATATTATAATTTGGACATACGTTGATCGGTAATTTTTTATTAATCGCAGCGCCTACGGAACGGGTTAATTTCTCGCATATTAACGATGAAACTATCCGAGATCTGAACAAAATCAGGGATCATATCGAGGCGAACATTGTTGGACAGGACGGATTGAAACACGCGTTAATTGCTCAAAAACTCTTGATTCTGAATAACTATAATTAAATTTCGATATTATGTGAATTGTAAGAATTTATATTTCAATAATTATACTGAAGAAGACCGCGTGCGGTCGAAACGTTTATAGAATGATTGTAATTTGCGTTAGTTTTAATATAATGACTGTAGTTTTATAATTTATACATGTAATAAATGGTAGTTGACTGAACATCTCGAATATTCAGCTCGATAAGTTGGCCTTATATTTATCACTTTGTTTTCAATATACGAGCGACAATTGTATTAATTTATTTTTTATTTTCTAAATCTTGTAATAAAAGATCAGCCACAATAGGCGATAGTGGAGAATGGGTATTTCAAATGTTTGTTTAAAAATTGTATTATTAAATTTAAAATAAGTGGAATCGCTAATAAATTTCGTCATATGTAAAAATTCATTCTTAGGTATATTAGTGAATTTTTCAATGTACGACCAACAATTAGAAATACTCGTCATCGCCAAATCCTTCGGTACATTTGTGAACAAGGACACGACATCAAAGAAAGCCAACATATAAGTGTCATCTATCTTTAAATTTGACAATTTATTGTATAATTGGAAACTAATCTTAACATGACTTCTCGCTGTTGGAAGACTTTCGAGTAAAGTTCGTTGAACAAAACTCGCAATGTTATATAGGGGACTATTTAACAAAGAAACAATGATTCTTAGCGGAAACCCTTCTTTGTGTATTTTCGGTAAACCATATATATTCGGCAAAGGCCCGTCACTAGATCTGAATTTAAAATATTGCTAAGGTATAATATATTCTTTGTTTTTCATTTTTTAAGAGTATCATTAAGTTCTTGTTCAAATATTCATGCAAAATATTCAAAAAAAAAGAATATGCCACAGGCTTCAAATGTTTCAATCGTCTAAATAAATTTATTAAGGTGCATAAGGAGTCGGCACCAGGGATGGAGATCAATAATGTTATCTATAAAATTAATTGTAACGATTGCAATGCGACTTATGTGGGTCAAACAAAAAGACAATTGAAGACAAGAATAAGGAACATAAAAATAATATTAGATATTTACACACGAAACCTTTGGTAATATCTGAACATATTATCAGTGAAAATCACTCTATTGATTGGGAAAACAAAAATTCTTGATTGTGAACCCAATTATTATAAACGATTAATATCAGAGATGATTTTCATAAAACAACAAAACAGAGGTTTAAATAAAATTGAAGATTTAGATACATTAGATAGCAGTTATTTTCCTTTGTTGGAGTCTTCCTAACGAACTTTTCAAACAATTTCTACAAAACATGTTTACCAATTAGCGGCAGATATATATAGAGCTAGGTCGCGACTCGTATCACTTTTGTATTTACAACATGAGTATCAAGATGTTCTATCTTTCTGTGACTAGTGTCAATCTATGGTTTTTTAATTTGGAAGTTAAGGTGAGAGTTATATTATAAGTTACTTGAATTTTGAATATATTGTTTGAAGAAGTGTTATATGTAATAAAAAAATTTAATAATAGAAATCGCGAGACCTAAGAGATATTAGAGGAGAATTGACTTAATACGGATCACATTGTACTGGCTTAACCAACGTTTCACTATATTTTAACTAATTATGACTGAAGAGACGCAAGTAAGCGTCGAAACGTCTCATTGTATCATTGTAAAGTAGATTTATACGATTTGATGTAAAGTTTGAAAATATATATGTTTGACATCAATTCACATAACTCGTAATAGGCTCATGTTGTTTTATTATCTCTATCTATTGCAGTTAGGCAGTACTGGTACCCGCGGGACGGCGGCAGAGGACCGATGATGTCGAGATGAACCTGGTGGAATCTGCTGTCCGGGACTCGAATGTGTTCTGGCAGGTTTTTGTGATGTCTCTGGATCTTTGCACGTTGACATGCTAAACAGGTCTTGACCACTTTGCGGCGTCCTTATTTAGACCCGGCCAGACAAATCCGCGTGCGATTAGATCTCGGGTAGCTCGGACTCCTGAATGCGATAGGCGGTGCACCGTGTCGAATATTCTGCGACGTAGGATGCGAGATATGTATGGGCGAATCTCTTCGGTGGAAATGTCACAAAATATTGTATGTTCTGAGTCGTCGAGGCGTAATTTACGAAGCTGCAAATTTGTTGTTGATGATTTTACCAGTTCTTGCAGCTCTTCATCCTTTAGTTACTCGATTGCAATATCCTCGGTGGAGATAATTGTAGGCATGTGTATCTCTTGGATTCGAGATAGTGCGTCTGCGACTGTGTTTTGCGTTCCTGGAAGGTGAACCAGGTGAATAGTGCATTGTGAGATATAATCCAGTTGGCGCAGCTGTCTAGGAGATGCTCGATCTGACTTCTAGTCGAAGGCATATATTAACGGCTTGTGGTCCGTTGCTACCGTGCATTCACGACCTTCTACGAAATGCCGGAAATATTTTAGGGCTTTATAGACCGCTAGGAGCTCACGGTCGTAGGTGCTATATTTTCTTTGTGTTTCGGTTAGTTTTTGTGAGAAAAAACTTAAGGTACGTACACGTCCCCTTGGAGTTGTTGCAGTGCGGCACCGATGGCTGTGTCTGAGGCGTCTGTTTGCAACACCAGAGGTGCTCCTTCTTTTGAGTGTGCCAGGAGAGTAGCTTCTTTCAGCTGTCTTTTGCATTGTTTGAATGCTTCCCGCGTCTCCGGTGTCCAGACTATTGTTCGGTTGTCTCGCTTGGTTGCTCCGGTTGTAAGTTTGTGTAGGAGTGCTTGAATTAAGTACTGCTTCTTTAAGTAGGCGTCGGTAAAAGTTGATGAAACCAAGGAATCTGCGTAGTTCCTTAACGGTATTTGGTATTGGATAGTTCCTAATTGCAGCTATGCGCTCTTGGAGAGAGGCGATACCATCCTGACTAATGGTGTATTCCACGTAATGGACCTTCTTGGCTCCGAAGGTACACTTTTCCACATTGATAGGCCGTGTTGTTGTAGCCGTGACAGGATTTGACGCACGTGTGTTGCGTGTTGCTCTGGTGTTGTAGATGCGATCAAAATGTCGAAGAACGCATATTCCACTCCTTGGAGGACCGTATCCATCAGGCGTTGAAACGTCTGCGCAGCGTTGCAGAGACCAAAGGTCATCTTGTTAAACTGGAACAAATCGAAAGGAGTGATTACGGCGGTCTTGGATCTGTTCTCTGGAGTTACTGGAATTTGGTAGAACGCTTTGTTGAGGTCAAGCGTAGTAAAGATCTTGCATCCATGTAAACGGTTCGTAAAATCATGTAAATAAGGAACGGGATATCTGTCAGGTATCGTGACTTTGTTTAATTGACGGTAATCGCCACATGGTCTCCATGTTCCATTGGATTTCTTCATCATATGCAGTGGAGAGGCCCATGGACTAGAGCATGGCAAATACCCTGCTGGATAAGGTTCTGGAAATCGATTCAGGCTGCTTTATAACGGGTTGGTGAAAGTCGCCTAGCTCGCTCTGCTACAGGATATCCGTTGGTGATTATATGATGTTGCACGCCGTGTGTGGGTTCCTGGCTTTTGATTGGACGTGTTACTTCGTCGAATTCCAGTAGAATTTTCCTGTAACAGTTATCGTAACTGATTTTTGTTAAACTTGGAGTGTTGCATGTTGTGATTGTATCTAGCACGTGCAATTTTGTCTCTATATCGATTAGTCGGCGGTTGAGGAGATCGACAAGCAGTTTAAAATGTTTTATAAAGTCGGCACCCAATATCGGTTATTGAATGTCAGCTACAATGAATCGCCAAACAAAAACTCTGTAGTGCAAGGTTGAGTTTCATTTTAAGCTCTCCGTAAGTGAGGATGATAGTGCCGTTAGCTACGTAAATTGTGAACCTAGCATGAGTAGGTTGTTTGCCTTTCATGCGTTTTGGAAGAACTGAAACGTCTGCACTGGTGTCCACCAAGAAATTCATCCTTGAGTATTGATCCATGACTGTGAGGCAATTTAACGTCTAATTGATCTCCGTAGTCGTCCCTATGTTCAGAGATTTTATTAGTTTTCCTGCGGCTTAGCTCCTTGAGTCCACGTACAAGGGTTGTGGCACTTTCTTGCGCTGGCACCAAATCTATTATGATAGTAACAGAACTCAAGCTTATTTGAATGCGTAGGTGCAGGTCAATGCTCTAGGTTGGTTTCCTCTTCCTCTGCTACGGGAGCGACGGAATCGTTTGTTGCGATCTAGTTGTTTCTGTATTTTTAAGACCTGTAATGTGAGTGCGTTAAGTGACTCTTCTAATGTAGACTGCGTACCTGAGGTAGACTGTGTATTTGAACTCTTTGCAGGCACGATTTGAGTTGTGCCAGCGCCCGAGGCGTCTGTTTCTCGTGTAGGCGATCTGTCTACAGGCATCCTTTTTTACGCGGGATCACGTCGGAGTCACCAATGTGGCGCTCGGATGTATGTATATTTTTAGTGGGAAGGAGATTACTGCTCAGGCGTCTTGGATGCAGGTAAGTATATAATATCTGTTGGAAACTATTGCTGAGGTGTCTCGGATCGGTAAGTATGTGGTAAGTATATTTTTTGTATCTTTTTAAATATATAAAAATATTTTATTACTTTTTGGTCACAGACAGTTATCACAGTATCAAAGGTAGACAAAAGAGAGATTGACTTAAGTGAAAAAGAACTTAGATTACTTAATATCTAGATAGGAATCATTTTTTATTAGTACGCATGTGCGCGGTATAAAGTTAGTAGAGAGGTGCCATAGGCCGCTTGGCGTACAGAAAACACGCACACAAAGTGCCACTTTGCCTGCACGTGTACTACAAAATAAATTATATGAATTGTACGATTCTACGTTTGTAAGAAATAAGCATATCTATGCGCAAACTCTTTGAAATACGCTCGTTAAAATAATCATGTTGATTAAATTTATATCCGTTAGTTTTAAGGCGACCTAATTCTCAGCTCTTTGTTGGCCGAAAACCTTCGCTACTGTTCGACGCTTCTTGGAATCTGTATCGTGGCCGAATCGTTATGCACCCTCCCTCCATACCGCATCGCCTCATACCTTACGCGCCGAAGCTCATATGTATGTCATAAATTCTGCCTCTATTTGGAACTCTTGCTTTTCTAGACATTCCATTGACGCTCCTCCTTTTTTTTACACACATTACTTGCATCAATGATCTCGGGATATAGTTTATGAAGGAACCCCTACCAAAGAACGCAAAGCACAAGGACTTTTCCCGATTTCGGTGGGTATATAAGCTCTGCGGTCCTGGCATCTGTGTGGTATAATTATACACAGCATATTATGGTACACTAGATACTGCATCTCATTGTGTCACTCTAAATTTCTGTACGAAACTTTGTCACGCGTTCGCCGTCGACGACGTTGACTTCCTTCATTAATTCTTGATCGCGCATAGTTTGTAAAGTAAAGAGAGTTACAATAAAAAACTTTAAAGCATTAAAATCTGTGTACTTTTGATTTCGCTACGCGCATCCCGACCGAGGTCTTCTAAGGGGGTGACGGCAGGTGAACGTGCTGCAGATTGACGCTATAAAAGTTCATCCAGCGCAAGGTAAGTACCTTTCACACTAACTGTTTGAGATGCAAAGTAAATTTTTAGTAAATTCTAGAATCATCGATCAGCGTCAATAATAAAAGTCACGTTCTTTTTTGTATGTTTGTCAAGGTAAAAAGATGTCATAAATTAAAACCTGTCATCACAAAACATTCTTTGCATATAAACAATTAGCGGTATCGCAACCGTTTTCGCCAAATACTTATCGCGCTAAAAGCATGCGCAAAATTGTTACGCGGCCTCAATCACCAATTAGAAATAGCGAGCGGCCGCGCGCGCATGGCAAAACGCGAGTCCTTTGCGCATCTTAGCGAAGCGGCCAATTATGAGCTGTGTCCTCGAGTCACCTCGAACACAATTTAAATTGCTCACAATAATTGGCGCTTCCCGAGAGGGTGGGTTTTCTTCGGGAAACCATAAAAGAAAGCTCGCACCCGAAATTTGGGTTTTATCGCTTTTTGCAGTGACCGCATAACTCAAACCGCATATTAGTTAATCCGCAAAAATCTCGTTGACGACCGCCGCTTATTCCGCACTTTGATCTCGATTACGTTTTCTCTGAAATAATTAATTGTTGTAATAAGTCTTGTTTAAGTGTATTTTGTAATTAAGTGTGTGTTGAAAATTAAACCTTTTGATACAAAAAAGTGACTTTTCCTGTTGTGTCGCGCGATCCTCTCTCACGCAGCGCGTTCGCGAACACTAACAAATACTTCTTTAATACATTACTTGCATGAGAATCTAAATTCTGTTCAGAAGTCGCGCTAGATCAATAATTATCATCATCCTACTATTATTCTTCTGTGCCCTCTTCCCTTATTCTTTAATAATCATCGAGCAGTGCAAAATTCTGTCTTCTGCTCTTGATAATTTTTAGCCTCCTTCCTCTATTCTTTTATAATCGTCGGGCACTGCGTAAAAAATAAGTTATCGCGCCGAATAAAAGCACCCTTTGTGATCACAGATACTCCGAATAAACCATTTGAAAAATGTGCATTAGATATCCTCGGACCCTTAACAGCTACCACTAACAAAAACAAATACTTACTAACATTTCAGGGATAGCCTGACGAAGCTCAGTAAAGCGATACCGATCGCAAATCAAGAAGCAAATACCGTCGCGAAAGAGTTCGTTACAAAAATAATTTATGAACACGGCATTCCCGAGAAAATTTTAACAGACCAAGGCACAAATTTTATGAACGAAGTATTTAAAAATATATGCAAATTATTAAGAATAAAAAAGATACAAACAACCGCGTATCATCCCGAGAGTAATGGAGCATTAGAAAGATCGCACCGCACATTAGCCGAATATTTGCGACAATATATAAATGCTGATCAAACCGACTGGGATAAATGGGTGCCATACGCAATGTTTACATATAATACCACTCCTCATACAGCTACGGGATATACCCCCTTTGAATTAATATACGGACGACAAGTCGAACTACCGATAGCACTAACGAAACCGCCTAAACTGACGTATAGTTACGATGACTATCTACAGGAACTAAGGGAAAGAATACCTGCCTCAAATCAGCTTGCAAAGAAAAATATTAAAGAAGAAAAATAAAATCGAAAGAATACTTTGATAAATCCGTGAAAAAAACCAAATTTAAAATAGACGACAAGGTACTCGTATACGACGAGACACTCCGACGCGGACGATCCAAGAAATTAGACACATTATGGGCGGGACCGTACACAATAATAAAAAAAATTCAAGCGTCAATTATACAGTGAAGAAAGGAAGAAGAGCGATACGCATGCACACAAACAGATTAAAATTATTTATTGAAAATTAGGACTTACCTAATTGTCTGCTTCGTCCTCGCGACATACACGCCCATAAGGAAGAGGCCGTCTCTCTTGCAGAGCCCTCAGTGTTTGTATGGCCGGAATCATGAACCCTTCTTCGGGAGACACCAAAGCAACTTCGCGCACAACGCGCACACCAGACCGCACATTTACACTTACGTGTAAAGAGAACGGAAAGGAGCTAGCCGCATATCGTGCGACAGCCCCAAGAGCCCGATTAAAACGGTTGGTCGGCAATGCCGGCCCCACAACCGGGCCCAGACAGCTAGAAACGATGTGCGACGAAACAGAAAGTTCATGCGTAAACTCGATTAATATTATAAAACAGAAATTAAAATACCTAAACAACATAAAAAATCAAATTGATACCCTATACAAAGAACCTACAAACAAACGACGAGGACTAATAGACGGTATAGGATCAATAACAAAACATTATTTGGAACCATGGACACAGACGATGAAAAACAAATAAACGAACAGCTAGAATTAATAGCAAATAAGCAACGAGTATCCGAACACGCGATTCGAAACCAACTAAAAGTAATAAACGCTACAGTAGCACATTTAGATAGACTAGAAAACATAATCGACCATAATGAGAGACTGCTAAAACAGACTATGACCGAAACTTTCACCTTAGAAAAAATAAACGAACATTTCAGGGCAATAGAGGCAATTGTAAACGAACTAATAAAGGATACAAAAAACGTATTAGAATACTTAACATATATACGAAAAGGCAAAATGCACCCCAGATTAATACCAATAGACGAGATTATAAATAATTTAAAAGATGCGGCAGCACAGCTTCCCGAAGGATTGTATTTCCCCTTTAAAATTCGTACAAACGACTGGTTAGCAATAGAAAAAACATTGCGATAACAGCGTACCACGAATCAGATACAGTATATACAATTTTGCGTTTTCCTTTAATTGTACAACCGACATATGACATTATAAAAGCGATAGAATTTCCTACGCCATACATAAAGAATGTATACAATTATATTAAAATAAACAACCCAATTATTGTAGTAGATAAGAAAAAATTAACGTACGCCGTATTAACAGAAAAGAAGTTAGAGCAATGTAGTAAAATAAATACACAATATGTATGCAAACAAAATACACCCATATATCGCATAGATGTAGACGCACCATGCGAAATTCAAATGTATACACTGTGACAACGTTATCAGGATAAATGTAATGTTAGACAATATACCTCGTCCCGCACGATATGGATAACCTTACACCAAGAAGACACTTGGTTATACTCGACCTCCGCTGAACAAACAATAACTATACGATGCGACGGACGATCAGAAAATAAAGTAATAAAAAACACAGGCGAGATTACAATAAACGAAAACTGTAAACTGACAACAACGGACACAACATTACAAACGGCAGGAAAATCGTACGAAAATACCTTAGAAACTTTCCTACCAAATATAAATATAACAATTCCACGAGACGGAAAAGTAGGACATAACCAGGACACATTAGTAAACATCTCACAACATCGTTTGGAATTGACAAAACTCAGAGACAAAATAGAAACTATAGACAACGACTTACAAAACAACGAACAAAATTTTTATGCACGGAAGCAATTTGTCTATCCAATGACATTTACCGGAACAGTAATGACAGTGCCTGCAATATCCATTATAACATGGATAATAATAATAAAAAGAAAAACAAAAACAAAAAACAATCGAAAGTTACAATAAATAATGACTTTGAAATACCGAGATCAATCCTAAGAAGGAGTCAAAGTACTAGAATTTAAGAAACGATTGTAATACTATACTGTAACGGGAAACCACTATTATACGTAAGTTAAGAAATTAAGAACAAAAAACTTCGTACCTCCGTTTTTCTTTTTCAACGGGAGAGGAATGTTATAGTCCGAATGACTATAACTATATTATATTAAATATAGTTTTAATAATAAATTAGTAAGTCGGCCGTTATGCAATCGTTTAAGAAACGTTCTCACGCTCTCGCGAAGCGCTTATCGCGAAAAGACGCAAACGCGACGGAATATAAGCGTTACACCGAAAACCGCGGATCGCAAGCGAAGAATCAACCTGCTTCGCTTGCACCTAGATAAAAGCGTGTGAATAAAAATTAGCCAATGAAAGAGCTTTTCTACATCTTCCCCCGAAAGATGTAGAAAAGGGTAGGAGGAGACCACCGCAAACGGAGAGCGAGGCGATGAAGTCAGTCGCTAACGAAAATCCGAAAAGTCAAGTCGCTAATTAGAACCTAACTACGAGTCAAAGACAAGCCGCAAAATACAAACTATCACCTGTAATCTAACTGCCGAGTGCGGGCATACTTAACTAACCACCCAGATGGGATTAGACATAATTAAACCAACTCGAGAAATAAGTGAAATAAAAGATTTATTCAATTAAACCAGTGAAGTTTGACAAAGTGGAGACGCCCGCCGATCCTAGGATCCTCATCCTTCAGTCGACTGAGACCCCAAAATTTTCCGTGCCTTTCCGGAGGTACAACATTGATAACTCCATTGTAGATGAGCAATCGGAAAGCTAAAAACGAATGGCGAAGTAAACGAAACCATCGAGCCGGCGTAAAGACCCGTGCAAAACACGTAGCCTCATGCCTGCGTTGGTTAACACGCAAACAGATTGCTAATAAACCTCGCATCAAAACAATCCAGACGATTTCGTTCCCTTGATACATATTGCGTAGCTTTGGAAGACTAGCATTTCTCCTAACTCTACCAATTCACAAGCAGCTTTAACACCCGCGTCTAACAAAATTAAAACTGAGCTTACGGAAGGCCACACTCCAGACCTACCGGCAGCCGCTTCAGACCTATTAACTTACCTCGAATTAAACCGAAAATCAAAATCTAAAAAGATACCTCACAAGGAGAGCTATCACCTATCGATTTAAATACAAGACTAAAGAACCAATCACCAGAGAGACATACGGAAATAGACCAATACACAGCCTATTTGCAAAATTAAATTAAGTAACATCTGTATACTCATATAAAATACCCAATAATATGAAATAAAACTATCTATTCGTTAATTTTGTATTCAAATAAGACCTAAATTTTCGAATAAGACTGTACAAAAACTCAGGAAAATAGACCTTTATTCTATTATCGATATTATTATTGGACTATTAATTGACTTGGCTACAGGATTAATAGATACCGATGTGTTTACAGTTCTCGTATAAAATTTTTATATTCCCAAAGGGAAATTGAGAGTAGAAATTATAAGATATCCCGAGGACAATTTTGACTTCTTTTACAATTTATAAATAAACTGCACAAATGTTGATAGAGCTATAGAAGAGTTTATGCTAAAATTGTTATTCAAAGCATTAGTTGGCGTCGTCTGTGATTTTATGACGGGCGATTTGACTGCCGATGAAGTAATCTCCATTTTAGAAAACTTCAAGAATCTTACACGAGGTCTCGCCACGCCTACTAGTGACTTAAATTCCCCATTCTAATGCCTTCCCAGCCCCCAGATCTCCAACATCAGTCCTAGCTCTCGGCGTCCCTGGGGTATAGCCGGTGTAAGAGTGCCGTCACATGAGGCGTAACTTGCGTTAAGCGTAACCTGCGTATTATACGCCGTGGTTACGCTATTCTGAAGGACGGCATTCACATAGAGCGTATTACGCGAAACGTGTAACTAATACAACCAATCGTAGATTAGAGTTTCCGGTGTATGCTTTAACAGAAATGCTAAATAGGACTTGTGATTGGTTTTCGTAACCTACGCGTCCCGAATAATACGCTTTATGGGGAACGGATGCTTTGGGTTCCGTAAAACGCGCATATTTAAAATGGCTGGCAAAATGACAAGATAAACGAAATATGTAAAAGACGAGAGCCCTCACTGCTTCGATCAAGAGTTCATCTAAAGTATCTGTAGGACCTTCCGCAGTCTTTGCATTCTCTTGGATTATTAAATAAATAAATACATTTATATACTATAATACAATAAAATAATACAACAAAATATATGCAAAGAATGTAGTAAATATACTGTTATAACATATTGTCACAACAAAATTTTCATTTACAACGATGCAATTCTTATCTTTCACATAATGCTTGAAGCATTCATGCTCGACAAAATTAGTAGAAAATTGGAACAGCCATTTACAATACCCGCATTTGTGCTGAAAAGATTCAAACATGCAATGTAGAAAATAATGCATTATGATGTTCATATTGCTCAAAATTCTCAAAAATTCATGCATGTAAAACAAGAAATCAATATATGTTAAATATTAGAGAAAGAGGAAACAGATTTCAAATGCAAAAAGTACGAAGACCTACTAATATACAATTTAAACTTGAAATTTTGTATCACATGTCGTGAGCAGTAAACTGTTTTTAATCGAACGCTATTAAAGCTTATATAATAAATTAGATTTTTGTTAACTTACCCTTATTTGATTATTCTTATTCATCTTATTAATGTATAGGTATGGATGAATTAAAATTAACTTTTTCTTTGTCTTTAGTCTTTGGCAGAAAAACGCACAAATGGAGTTGTGTTTTTTTTTACAAATACGCATCAGCGTTTCTTTCGCCAGAAATTGAATTCGGCGTAACGATAATAGCGTACAAAGCATAAAATAACTAGACAGAAACTGATACTGAAATGAGACGATATGATTGGTCCAAAGACTAAAGACAAAGAAGAAGTTAATTTTAATTCATCCATACCTATACATTAATAAGATGAATAAGAATAATCAAATAACGGTAAGTTAACAAAAATCCAAATTTCAAGTTTAATTTGTATATTAATAGGTCTTCGTACTTTTTGCATTTAAAATTTGTTTTCTCTTTCTCTAATATTTAACATATATTGATTTCTTGTTTTACATGCATGAATTTTTGAGAATTTTGAGCAATATGAACATCATAATGCATTATATAAGCTTTAATAGCGTTTGATTAAAAACAATCTACTGCTCACGACATGTGATACAAAATTTCAAGTTTAATTTGTATATTAGTAGATCTTCGTACTTTTTGCATTTAAAATTTGTTTTCTCTTTCTCTAATATTTAACATATATTGATTTCTTGTTTTACATGCATGAATTTTTGAGAATTTTGAGCAATATGAACATCATAATACATTATATAAGCTTTAATAGCGTTCGATTAAAAACAGTCTACTGCTCACGACATGTGATACAAAATTTCAAGTTTAAATTGTATATTAGTAGATCTTCGTACTTTTTGCATTTAAAATTTGTTTTCTCTTTCTCTAATATTTAACATATATTGATTTCTTGTTTTACATGCATGAATTTTTGAGAATTTTGAGCAATATGAACATCATAATGCATTATTTTCTACATTGCATGTTTGAATCTTTTCAGCACAAATGCGGGTATTGTGGATGGTTGTTCAAATTTGCTACTAATTTTGTCGAGCATGAATGCTTCAAGCATTATGTGGAAGATAAGGATCGCATCGTTGTAGATGAAAATTTTGTAAATTTTGTATAAATAGATTTCGATCAATCTTGCATTTACCATGATTCACAACGTCTTGAACGCCAGATTGCAAAGGGTGATTTCAGCATAGCTGAGAATAATCGCAGTAGCATCACCTGCCATATCCTGTGGAATATTCAAATATATAATAGTTATAACATTATGAATTAGAGAGGACATATGTTGCACAAATTCTTGAAAAATTGTATCATTAATTAATTGAAAAATATAACAAGTTGTCGCTGACCTGAACGGACAGACGTTGTTCATTGTGAAACGCGTCAAACGTACTGATTTCGTTTATGTCGTGAATTGATGGTACTATAGCAATGCGTTGACCACCAGACTTTCCATATCCAGCTGAACACAAATGGTGGAGAAGGTACCCGGAGTTCGCGGCGCAACTCAAACTTTCCTCGAAATCCGTCAGTAATTTGTTGTCGTCGTTCTCGCTGTTGCCTAAATCAGGTTTCTCTGTAGGTGAGCACCACAGGCCAAAATTATTTCTGTGTAAATGTCTAGTGTAGAATTTAAGAGGACAAAAGAGACGTTGAGAAGAGAAGACAAAAATTAGACAAAAAGGACATCTGCATTAATGTTTTTTATAGGACCTAGTAGATTAAATTTAATATGATTATTAGAAATACAATAGATTATTACATTAAAAATGCTGCAAAATACTAAGCTGTTCTGCATCAATTACTTCTCGTCTTTTACATATTTCGTTTATCTTGTCACTTTGCCAGCCATTTTAAATGTGCGCGTTTTACGGAACCCAAAGCATCGGTTCCTTATAAAGCGTATTATTCGGGACGCGTAGGTTACGAAAACCAATTACAAGTCCTATTTAGCATTTCTGTTAAAGCATACAACGGAAACTCTAATCTACGATTGGTTGTATTAGTTACACGTTCCGCGCAATACGCCCTATGTGAATGCCGTCCTTCAGAATAGCGTAACCACGGCGTATTTTTTATTAAATCACTAGATTACACTAGAATACGCAGATTACGCTTAACGCAAGTTACGCCTCATGTGACGGCACCCTTACGCCTCATGTGACGGCACCCTAAGCAGGTTGCCCCGCAAAAAATAGAGAGCGCCCTCTTTTCTCCCTAGCCTAAGCGTAGGAAGAGAAAAGAATCGTCGTCCGGTGTCACGTCCTAGTGACCTTTCTACTCTCTCTATTCCTAGGCTAGAAATAATGGGGCGCTCTCTATTTTTTATGAGGCAACCTGCTTACACCAGCTATACCTCAGGGACTCCGAAAGCACGGACTATACTTGTGGAACTAGAGACCGAGTGTTAGGACTTTGGGGATGGGGAATTTTAGTTACTAGTGAAAAAAGGATTTCTACTAGCAATTCTTTCTAAACTATCTAATGAATTTATCAATTGATCGACTGTAATTTCCCCATTTAAATAGTTGTTAATTAATAAATTCAATAGCGAAAATATAATATAACTCTCAAATCTAAGGTCTTGAGAATCCCTCATGGGGTCCTATTATTAAACGATTATTTAAATTACGCGAATTATCGGTTTTCGCGAAGTCTCGCGTTTATCGTGTGCAATGGATCAGGAATGTTATCTAAACAGACGAGAAATTGATCTAAATCTATGTTTCCCTCTAAAACGTCTGTTAGTTGGGCGATAATTATACTTATTATAGAATGGATTTTTTCGTTAATTAATTTCCGATTTTCTTTAATAGTAAATTCTGATGACATTAGAGAAATGATTCAAATATTTAAATAACTAGCATACTGATCGATTTTGAATGAGATATCCGGACACTGTTCTTCTAAGAATTTTATTATTAGATCCTGAGAGATTTCCTCCTCTATTTCCGATACTAAATCGCACAGTTCTGTGAATAATGATGATTCGAAAATGTCGTCGTTAAAATCAAAAGAATTAGGTAATTCGTCAATCGAGAGTTCGATCTTTGTATCGGGGACGGTTCTTTCGTCCGTAAAGAGGGTTTTATCAAGAGCTTATCGCTAGAGCCAACGTAAAGTAGATGCGGCGCGGTTAGCACAATTCTTTTTATCTGCTCTATGATTTCTTTTATTCCGACGTGCGATCTTCTGGTTTAATGTCTTCATGGGGCATAGAATAGTAGTGAAGTATCTAATTTAATAAGGGGATATTGTCAGGAGATATTAATAAGAAAAATGTACTGATGGAAATTGCATCAATGTCGTATTAATATTTTCGTTAATTTACCACAGGATTCCGTCAATCGTATTTAGATAGATATTAAGAGAATAGTTAAATATCTAGATAATTAGCATATTGTTCGATCTCAAATAAACTGTCTGGACACTGATCTTTTAATGATTGTATCAAGTCCTTACGTTGAGTTTGTTTCCAAGAAGTATCCTCTTCTATTTGTGATACTAACTCACACAGTTCTGCAATTAGTAACTGTTCTGAGAATTAGTCTTTTATTGTTTGCACTTCGTCTGTAGGATAAAATTGTTCCGGGAAATTATTTCTTTCTACTTGCGATACTAATTCGTGTAATTTCGTGATTAGTACCTGCTCTGAAGAATCGGTTTCTGAACTAAATTTATTAGATGATTCGTCTGGCAAGGATTCTATTCTGTAATCAAGAGAAATTCCTTTGTCTGAGATTGGTGATAACTCTGGGAAGTTAGTTCGGAGATCAAAGTAATTAAGTGCTTCTTCTACTAGGGAATCAATTGAACTCAGTAGTTCAGGAGTCGTGAATTCAAGGGAATTAAGAGATTGGTTGATCGAGGTTTTGGTCTCAATATGAAGGGGAGTTCCTTTGTTCGATACGGGCTTATTGTCAAGATTTAGTTGAATAGATGAAGTCTTCAATCTTTTTATAGTCTCCGGAGAAAAGGTAACTTTTTCACACGATTTGACACGAGGTTTATTATTTGGTGACCGTTGCCTGAGCCAAAGTAGAGAAGATGCAGCGCGGTTAGCACGAGCCTTTTTCTTACTTGCCCTACGATTACGTTTCTTTCGATAATTGATCTTCTGTTCTCGTTTATTCATTTATAAAATTGTCATTAAATAAATATGGAATATCTATTTAAATTAGATGTTACTAGGAGGATACTACTAGGGGGTGGTATACTAAAGGAGATTACGTTAATTGAAAAATCTAATTAACTAGAGAATTTGTCAAAATAACATTCGTTAAATTATTGGTCTCCTTGTATCGTTTATTAGGAAGGAGAAGATTTAGGAAAACGATCTACCTCGGGGCGTTGATAGGAGAGTTGTTTCTGGTGCGCTTATTCAGCGCTCGGGGGAAAGAAATAATCAGGGGGTTGATAAGAGAGTTATTTCCGGTGCGCTTATTTAGCGCTCGGGGGAAAGAAATAATCAGGGGGTTGATAAGAGAGTTATTTCCGGTGCGCTTATTCAGCGCTCGAGGGAAGGACATAATCAGGGGGTTGATAAGAGAGTTATTTCCGGTGCGCTTATTCAGCGCTCGGAGGAAGGAAATAATCAGGGGGTTGATAAGATAATTGGAAGATGATTGGATAATGCTTGAAGGAAATCTGCGCGACCTTCGAAACTCGTTCAAATTTTTATATAATGTCGGAGTTTTGGGTGATCTGTGTGTTTAACAGATTCCTACCTTTAAGACAACGAACTCTTCGTAGACCTGTGATGTGCCTGGCCAACTTCGCTCCCTTGCAAGGACCTCGGTCATGGGGTGCTTATGGCGAAATCAAACACTAGGTTGTATGTGTTATATCCCCCAAAGATATACAATAGATATAACTGTTAAAAGAGTAACTAATATTAAGAAATGGGTACTCGTATTGCATCTGCAATTACGACAAACACTGACCGCGTTAAAAAACGCATACGATGCGAGGTATACGCGGAATCGGAATTACGACAGCTAATGACCGCGTTAAAAAACGCATACGATGCGAGGTATACGCGAAATCAGAATTACGACAGATAATGACCGCGTTAAAAACGCATACAATGCGAGATATACGCGGAACAGAAATTGGTCAACGTGCAAGCAAAGCAGAAGGACTTTGAATCTGCTTCGCTTGCACCTAGATTCTCGACCGGGGAAACCTGTTGCCAGGCACCCCTTCCGATCGGGAAAACTCCAAAAACAACGATATAAAAAGAGAGTAGAGACGCGACAACTCGCTCAGTCGCAGACACAAATAATCGCTCTAACCACGATCTCGCTAACCGCGCGCGCACTTAGCATCGACTCGCAGTTGTGCGCGATACGCGGAGTAATATAAAGTCAGTGCCGCACACTCGTAAAGCTTCAGTGTATTGATAGTGAAATAAAATAAAGACCAAGTGGTTGAAGTTGAATAAAGAATTTTAATACAAAAAGTGTAGTGCATTTCTCTACAAACACCCGACAAGTCCTGACGCCCCGGATTCCCATCCCAATTTGGCGCGACCCTTAAGTGTCTCTCCCGAGGCACACAACAATTTGGTGGCAGCGGTGGGATTGCGCCGAAGGACCGTCAGGAACTACTCGGAGGAAGACCTGAAAAATACAGCAGTATTAATAAGCAGGCACGTCGAACATAATAATCGACGGGAAACAAACAAAACAGAAGCCGACGTATAAGCAGCAGCGTGCCGTACGTACAAAAAGACACACACACACGGACAACGCATCAGCCGTCGGGAAGTAGGCCATCACCTAAGGACGCGACCTACGACAACACGGACAACGCATCGCACCGTACAGCGACCCGCAGGATCACCTTACGACACCGGACCGCCAGCCGTATCAACACTGCCGAGCGATGATCTGCAGCGTCAGCAAGCGAGCGATAGTAACATTAATGTAAGTCCGAACCAAACTTTTATACATACTGCATGAATGTCGGAGGAAAGCGAAACACCCCGACAAGCAATAGCGAATAATTCGTGGTTACATAGCGACTCAGCCGCACGATCAATCAAAGCACTACCGATAACCTTAGAAAACCTCGGAAAAGTGCGGATAAAATTAGAAGCATATTATTCAGGAGAGAGCGACTCCGAATCATATACTCACGGGAAAGCCGAACGCGAATTTCCGTTTAACATTTTTGACGAAAGTTTATTTGAAGAAGGGGAAACCAACACCGGTAAAAATTTGAGAAAAGAAAGTAACGAACGCGTGAGACGAACTCCTAGCAACGGGTCACAACACGGGGAATCTTTGCTTACATCATACGATAGTAGTATTTTCGATCCGAGTGAGTATCAGGACATGCTGCGAACACCGCCTAACGGTGGCATGGATGTGTCCGAGGGTGCCATCGACCGCGAGATTGACCGTCTACACGGTACAATAGCTCGCGACAACACTCGACTGGTGGAAGCCGACGTACATGCACCACCCCCTAATAGCGAAATAGGAACAACTAACCCCCGCGATACCAGACGATACATAGATAGACGCATTGACGAAATCGAGGTGCGCGAAACTCCTAATTATAGGGAGGCCGGAATAGATAACCCTATGCTACGTGAGATAATGAGAGGCATGCGAGAACTACGTAGGGAAATGCTCACGGAAATAGACATATTGCGCGAACAAATTCGTGATATTAGCACATACGCGGACGAACGAGGTCGAATCCGCCGGGACACACACACCCGCGAGAGAGAAACGCGAGACCCCGACAATGACGACAAAAAATATAACGTTGTGTACGGACGAACAGAGAGTGACGCTAGACATCGACAAGGCCCGCAGGAGCCTTTTTTATCGTTAAAAGAAGCACGGCAAATGATTCCGGAATTTGACGGGACGGCCCAACATAAATTACAGGAATTCCTAAGCACATGCACGTACGCCATGACAAACATACACCCTGCTAACGAAAGAGGATTGGTGGGAGCTATCCTATGCACGAAACTCAAAGGCAAAGCAATGTTAGATTTTCAAACGCGAGACATACAGACATACGACGAACTCAA